GCGGGATGCTGGCCAAGAGGCTGTACATCCGGGCGCGCTAGAGCTGACCGCTGGATTTTTTCAAGTGGTTTAGGGTTTAGGGTTTTAGGGTTTTAGGGTTTTAGGGTTTTAGGGTTTGGGGTTTAGGGTTTAGGGCCTCAGTTTCAGTTTGCCGGCAGGGGCTGGCTCTGCAATGTCATTGCGCGGTTGGTGCTGGTCATTTGTTTACTTCGAAGCTGCGCGTGGGACATGCCCAGTAAAGTTTGCAAGAGACTTGCAGCTCATTGCGTTCCAAGGTTTCACCTTCGCAGATAGTAGGCAGGTTTATACATCGTCAGTTCACAGCCCGGCCTTTGCTTCAACTGGCCCCCAAGGTAGCAGGGTTTAGGGTTGTTTTCAACTCTGAACTGGACGATGGCCCTGATTCCCTAGATGGATTTCCAGATTGGTTCAGCTGCAGGTGATGCTGGATCGAAGCATTGTACTATCTGTAGTCTTCAGGGAAAATCAGCAGCACCAAGGCAGTCGTAGCTTTGCGAAAGCAGTAGGACATTTTCAATGACGCGTCGGATGCAAAATCGTGCAACCATGTCAATCCTGAACGCCGTCTCTGTTTGCAAGGCCTCTAAGGAGGTGCAAGAGCCGCGTACATCCCCCTAAAACCTAAACCCTCGACCCTAAACCCTGAACCCTGAACCCTAAACCCTAAACCCTAAACCCCGACCCTGCGGAGCGGGTGCCTGATGGTGCGTGCAGTGCGGGTGGCGAAACCTTAAACCCTAAACCCTAAACCCTAAAGCCTAAAGCCTAAACCCTAAACCCTCTAAACCCTAAACCCTATCATTCCGGTTGCTCACCGTGGCTGCATGGCCCAGGCTCCCATCGTCGAATCCCCAGCCCTCGCGGCTGGCAAGGCGCTTTCAGATCGCTTGCTGAACAGCGCCTGGATGTAACGCGTGGGGTCCACGTCTCTGAACGGCGATAGTTCTGCGGCTCCATTCGCTTTCACCCGACATCATGCAGTCTGGGTCAGCAAAGATAGCGCAGTCTGAACGCCAATGAAAGCCAAGGACCATAGCGAAATCCGATTCAAAACCAAGATGGTAGGGCGACACTTAGAGCTATAATGAGCTGCAGATGGGCCGAGCTGAAAGCAACATGACGAGAGTTCATGCCGGAAGTACATGGTCCAACCCGCAGCACGCTTCTTTGTGCAGAATTTCTTGTATGCAGGCTGTTTGGTGGGGATGGACAGACTTGGCTGACGCAGGGCCCTTGTTTTGATGTCCGGGCTGGCGAGGGGGAGAGAGTGTTTTTACGTGGCCACGTCCCACGACTACCCTAAATCCTAAGCCTTGCCTGCAACCTGTGCAACCTGTGCCTGGCAACAAATCTTACCTAGGCTCTTCGAGGCTATTGTCCAGATGCCTCGACAAGTCTCCCTGATGCACTGCAAGTCCGACTGGTGAAGGACTTGGTGGAGCCTGGTAGCCAGTTCGGCAAACGCATGGGGTGTTAAGAGGAAAAAAGCCGGAGCAGCAACCCGCAAACCATCCCATGTCGTCCATACCCTCAAAGGATCTTTTGCAGCAGCAGCAGCAGCAGCAGCAGCAGCAGCAGCAGCAGCAGCAGCAGCAGCAGCAGCAGCAGCAGCAGCAGCAGCAGCAGCAGCAGCAGCAGCAGCAGCAGCAGCGGCGATGAGTCCACGAGGTAAGTGGACCCAAACACAAGCAACACAGGATGCAGCCGAACCCGAGAGCAGGTCCTTGCAACTCATGTCGTCAACCAACGCGTCACGAAAGAACGGCACAAAGCATAGAACGAGGCGCTGGGCTGACCTCAACGAGACAAAATCCGAGTGGCGCAAGGCGGCTACTTGCGTGTGGAAATGGCTGTGTTGACAACATCTGTATAAGCAACCGTGCTTGTGGTTGCTGCGGCCGTGATTGGAATCAGCATCCGTCTCAAAAGGCTCTCTCCCCGCCCATCCGGGTTTTGGAGGTCACTTGCCCGTTCCGGCAACTTGACTGCAGAGCTTTGCCATGCAATCCTTCCACAGGCGTCAAATACATTTTCAGCTGTGGTAACAGTTCAGTCAGACACACAGTTCAGTGAGACACACAGTTCACTCCACGGGCAAGGTCCAAGGGATTTCTGATGCCTGGCCCGATCATCGTGTGGATCACTTAGCGCGCGTTGCTGCACAAGCTCAGGAGTTTTCTGCTAGCTTTGCAGCATGCATGGACGCAGCAGGAGATTGTAGGAAATCATGAGCAGGCAGTGCTCAAAACATGCTGCCGGGACCACCAGCAGTTGAAGTTGACTCCACTAGAGGCTTTAGCTGCTAAGGCCACCAAGCTCTCCATCCGGACATCGCGAATGGCGGGACGTGGCAGTCACTTGCTTTCGCATGGTGGGGGGCCCGGCGAGCCCCGAATGTGTGTTACTTGTGCCAGGGCCACCATATGATAGGGTCAGGGTGTTGGGAGAGTTTGATGACGAGCAGCCTTGCAGGCCTTCGTGGCAATTTTGATCCTCGTTTGCGTGGCTCAGGCAGACTTTTCGGGTTACCATGGGCCACGTTCCTTGATGCCCTTTCCCTTCAAGTTTTTGAACTTGTTCCGCTCGCAAGCGTCCGCAGGTGGTCCTGCTAATGGGGTGCATTGCCATGCTGGTTATGCAGATTGGTGTCCACCTTAGATTGTCTGGCAGAATCTCGTGTAACTAAGGGGTGATGCGAGGACGCATTACACATGATGCGCTTGACTTCTCAGAATGGAAATTAAAAACACAAGCAGACAGAGTTCGGGGGCGGGGAAAAAAGCCAAAGGGAAGAGCCGGAGGAGTGCAAGTGCACGCAGAGCTGCGCCGGGTGAGGGGTAAGCGCTTGGGGTTGCAATCCGCCTGCCCGGAAGAAGTGGGGCAAGGTATAGGCGCAATCAGCTTTCAGCATCAACTCACTGCCTACACTATGTCACTGAGTCAGAAACAGCAAGCCCAGAGTGCGCCAAAGAGGGAGTTATGTTTCTTTCTAATTTCACGTTTTTTATACTGCTAAATTACGATATTGTTAGATGAGCAAAAGTAGTCTACTTTCATTTATTAGTTTCAACGCTACGCGACTGGCCTGAGCCCGGGCCTGCCCAGCGGCGAGGGAAGATCGTTTCGCTTGAAGGCCTTCCCATGTGGGACATCAAACTGAGTACAAAGTTCTGCATATACCACCAGTCGCGTATCTCGTCTGAACTTGATGTTGGCTGGCTAGGCATTGTTCACTATACCCATTCCTGGCGAAGAAAAAGAGTGCCAAACAAGAAGAACAAGTTAGCGTTAAAGTATCTGCTTTATGAACACCTGCGGCCGAGGCCGAGGCAGATTAGGAAGTGCGGTTTGAGGGGCGTAGTTGTATGTTCTTGGTTCTGTATGCGCCTGTTTGCTGGCACTGTTACCAATCTTGGTGAGGAATGACAAGCCGGGTTGGGAACAGGACCAGCAACCAAAGATCCAAAGTTGTGCCCAGGCATGCAGTGGCGAGTGGTGCAATAGCACTTTGACCCGGGCTCGGTTTGCAAAGATTTGCAGAGCTTTCGATTGGATCAAGGGGCAGGCTGTGACGTCTGTGAGAATCTGTGAGACCCTGTGAGAGCAGAGTTTTTCGTGCTTTTTTCGGTCTTCGTAGTCTTGATGCAAAATCAAACTCACTGTTTCACCACATGAGCACCAAACGGTGCAGGCACAGTTTCAAAATGAAGACTCGCATCTTTCAGTGGCCCTGGTTGCCAGTTGTCCGTGCAGCCTCTGTCTTTGAACTTTGGAATCATCCAAGAGTCATAGCAATCTAGCATTCGCTCGAGATCTGTGTGTGCATTTGTTTCGATAAGGGTAGGGGCTGCTTGAGCAGCGTTAGTTTTGTTTCTTGCGCTTCTTGAAACTTAAGTACGTGCGGAAGAAGCATATCTCCGCGGAAGCGACGACACACACACAATTATGGTTTGGGTATTTGTGATAGCTTTGGGAAGTCGGAGTTCAGGTTGATCGTCCGCAAGCCAGGACTTGAGGCCCTCCATCCACGAAGTTCGACGCGAACGCGGCGGAAGCGCCACGGATCTCAAGGTCCAGGCCCCTCCCATTGATCGACGTCGCAGCAGCTGCTGCAAGCTCAAGCGCCACCTCCGCAACACGACTTTTTCGTACTACTCTTCTACTGCCGCACACAAGCACACAAGTCCCACGCCCCAGCCATCAACCCTAAACGCATTCTCGCCCTTCCCTATCCGCTACGCAAGCAGCCCGCGTGTATCGATCCAACCGCTTGAAGTTTCAGCAGTGTGTCGTCGAGCTCGCTTTGGGCCACCCAACATGTTTTCGAGTTCAATACCTTACAGACCTACTCGCGGAGCAAGTTTCGAAACCGCACGAAATCAGCTCGCGGAAGCGTCTGCAGAAGCAAACGCAGCGGACGAGTAGAAATAGGACTTGCGGAAGGACCGCGGACGGGTTTCGCGGAAAGGCTCGTTCTTTCATAGAAAATCTTGTGGAATGAAACCACAGCTCACTTGTCGACAAGCTCGACTATACGTGGTGCTAGTTTGCCGCCGCCATGTTTGACCAGCTGCATGTTGGGGACATGTCAGTGCGAGACTTCTCGCCCAGCTGTCCAGGCCTGCGATGGGACTTCTGAATCGTGATGAGTTGCGCCTTGTGTGAAGTCTGGCTCATCCTAGTCTACGTGTGGAGGTGGGATGCCACGGCAAGGAATCGAGGCCAATTGTGTGTCCATCTCCGAAGATAATTAGCTGCTTCAAGTTGTGCCTGAACAAGAAAGTAAGGCCAGTCGCTGCATGCCATGTTTAGTAGAAGCAGTCAGCGAGACAACGCAGCTCAGGAACGTCATTTGTTGGCATGCTCCCTTCGTGCCGCTTGTTGTCTTTGCTCACAGTTCGACAGCCGTATGCTGGCCGGATGACAGGCCTTGGCGCTTCAGTTGAAGCTACGCTTACGGGCACGGACTTCCTGAGGTCATGAACAAAGATGACTTCGCGGACTTGCTGGACAGATCCTGGCAAGGCTTCCGCCAAGAGCTCTTGGACAGCTACCCCATCTATTCAGGGGTGGATTCGCCCTCCTTTCCAAGGCATCTTACGACTGCAGCATCCTACTATTCGGCCTCCAACCCGGGAAGTCCGGCGAGCATCAACGGGATTTCCTTCCCGGCGAGCCTTGCGCATGCAGGACCAGTGAGCAGCCTGAGATCGTCGGAGGAGGCAGGTGAAGGTGAGACCTCTGACCAGGTCCAGCGATACCATGGTGATTCGGCTGCACTCCTGGGGTTTGGCCTCAAGGATTTAAGCCCCACAGAGGTGACGAAGGTGAAGAACAGGCTCCGCTTACGTTTGGGTGCCACTTCTTCGAACAAGCTGGTGTCTGGCAAGTCGCTTTACGATGCAGTGGTCTCCCTCGGCTTGACGATGTATCTGGAAGAAGACATGAACGACTTAGTGAATCATCTCGCCGATTTCATTGGTCTCTACTTCGAGCCGGAAGAAGGCAAAGTGAGGCGGCCAAGCCAGTCCTTGAACTCTCTCGCCATGTTCAGAACCGTCGAAGATCCCCGCAACTTTGGCAAGCCCAAGTGGAAATGGCCGGGCGGACAGAGTTTGGGACCGCAGCTCGCCCGCAGCGTGACCAAGAACATCCCCTTCAAAGACGGACGTGCAGCTCGAAACTTCAACGTCGTCCCCGCACCTTTGTCATAGTTGGGTAACATCTTGCATGTTTAAGGGTACTCAAACCCAATAAGGAATAACCCTAAACCCTAAACCCTAAACCCTAAACCCTAAACCCTAAACCCTAAACCCTAAACCCTAAACCCTAAACCCTAAACCTGAAAAGGCACAGGCTCTCATGGATGTCTTCCTTTCCTCGGAGGCAGATGTCCACAAGCGGATATTTGGACCCGCGCTCATGAACCAGTTCCAGGCCATGCGCGAGATCCTTGGTAGTAGAGTAGATCACCTTTGTAACCGTTTTGGGGTATTATAGTAGTAGTAGAGTAGATCACCTTTATAACCTTCTTGGGATATTATAATAGTAGTAGAGTAGATCACCTTGATAATAGCCTTTCACCTTTTTGGGGTATTAAAATCCCTACATAACCCCAAGGTTAAGCTTTCGTTTTCTAGGCTCCTGGACAACTAAGGATCCTGCTTGCTGGCGATACAAACAGGCTTGTCGCCGAGTTAACTTTCGTGCGGATCAACGACCTCGCAGTGCCGCCCGAGCCTTTACATCCCCTGATGTACATCGAGCCTTTTGTGGCCATACTGATTGTGTTGAATGGCATCATGATTGGCTTCCAAACTGATCCGGGTTATGAGGACTGGTCCGGGTGGAGATATGTGGATTTGGCCTTTCAGAGCTTTTTGCTGTTGGAGATTTTGCTTCGCATGCATCTTCAAAGGTGTCGGAAGTATTGGTGGGGCCCGGAGAGTTACTGGAATTGGTTCGATCTCTTTCTCTTCGGGAGTGGCCTGGCAGATGTGATTCTGCAGTTTGCCGGCGATCAGCAGTCAGACATAGCGGCCACTTCCCTCCTAAGATTTTGCCGCCTGATTCGCTTAGTTCGCATTGTCAAGGCTGGGATGCTACGAAAGAAGGGGGTGACAGCTCTCCTATGTTTCTAGGTACTGGAGGCATGGTAAGCTATACATGGTTAAGCCCCGAACCCCCACAGAGTGGCAAGCCAGCTAGGCGGCAAGGCAGCTAGGCAAGAAAAGCCCAAACCCAGGCTGCCCACCAATGCCACCCAGCCAGGTGTTTCGCATCAAGTTTATGCGAGACCTGCGTTTGATGGTGAAGGGCCTCATAGCCGGTGTCAGAACGCTGGCGCTGGCTTTCGTGCTCCTCTTTGCGGTTTTGTATGTCATCTCGGGCTTTGCCGCCATGACAATCGGCAGCAGTCAGGAGGCAGCTGACATTGGGCTCAAGGGCTTCTTCAACAACATCCCGGCTGCTATGTTCACTGCTTTCAGATGCTACACAGGCGAGTGCACAACCAATGACGGATCCCCAATCCATTCGCTGTTGGCAGAGGTGTTTGGCCTGCCATTTATAGCAGCATATGTTGCTAGCTACATGCTGGTGGCGATGGGCATCTTCAACCTAATTCTGGCCGTGTACGTCGACATCACAATGAAAGCAGCGAAGGAGAACGATGCGTTTACAGCAGAGCAGTACTCCCGGGAGTCCATCCGAGTTGCCCGCACAACACGCGAGCTCTTGAAAAAGTTCTCATCCGCTTATCAGATCTTCAACGACATGGACGCCGACATGAAGCATTCAAGCTCCATGGCCACTGCACGATTGGACTTGAAGAGGTCAAGCCTTTGTTTCACCGAGGAGGGTATGGAAGAGATTGCCATCACGAAGGAGCTGTTCCTGCTGATCATTCAAGACCGCGGCGTGCAGAAGCTGATGGATGACCTGGATCTACCGCCAGACCGCGCAAATCTGTTCGAGATTATTGATGCTGATGGAAGCGGCACTCTTCAAATCACCGAACTCCTGCACGGCCTGTTAAAGATCCGAGGTGAGATCAACAAAAGTGATGCCGTGGCCACACTCTTGGCGACCCGTTGTGTGCAGCAGGAAGTCTGCAAGCTCAAGGAGGAAAACAACTGCAAGTTGGATGCCATGCGATCCGACCTGCTGGAGGAGCTGGCCAAAATCCGGAAGAGATGCCAGAGCCATGTGAGCCCTGCCCGGCCACGGGCAAGTAGCACGCCGGTGCATGCGGAGCCCTTGCCCCAAAAGTCGGCACTTCCGGCTATTCTGGAGCTCAAGCCGCCTTGCAGGCCATATGTGTGTGAGGAGGATGCGCCCGTTCCCTGGCCATCTCCGAGGTGTTGAGTAACTCACCTTGTCCGGTGGTCCGAGTTTGCCCCGGCGGTCCTCTCCACTATGACCGTCTGAGATCTTCGTGACTCAGAAACAGCCTGTGCCCGAACCCAACCTGAGGAACCAGAATGGTTCATGTGTGTTTCAATGTCGATTTTTTAAAATGCGGTGGTCCCTTATTTTGACGACGTAGCCCTTCAAGCTCACTCTTGCATCCGTTGTCTGCAAGGAATGAATGCGGCATGAATCACCAGCCTTCGCGCAAAGTGCGATGGCGGAATGTAGCTGAAGTTGGCTGAAAGCGGCTTCCAAAGTTACAGCGCTAGCGCTAGCGCCTCCAGAGCAAGAAAATGGTCAGATGGAAGTGTTCTTGACACGGTGGGCATCTGGCTATGCATCGTGTCTGTGGCTGCGTGCTTGGGGTATCGCCTCTGTCTGTGTCTTAGAGCAGACGGCATGCCTCTTGCTCAGGAGATGGCCTGGAGGCATCCGCATCGGACCTTCTCCCAAGTTGCGATGACTTGTGTTGCGCTTTACGCGCTCCTACACTCTCCTCCGCGGGCTCAGCATGTCCTTCGTTCGCATCGCAGCTGCTTAGGTCAGAGCCGCTGTCAAGTAACGACTCTAAGGGACAGGGACCAAGTACCACACAGAGCCCAAGGGCAACTGGTGAATCATGCAGGCCCTAAGTTTTAGTGTTGGAATTGCCAGAGCCATTTAGAACACGTAAAGGTGCGATTGCCAGCGGTTGACGCCATGTCCTTGGGCTTTCTGAACCGGGATGCCTTCGAGAAGCACCTCGACACATCGTGGCAGAGCTTCCGGCAGCAGCTGCTTGATGTCTACCCAAGCATCCCAAGCATTCAAAGCATCGAGATCATGGAAGCATCGCCTGTAGATTCTGAACACAGATCTGCAGAGATTGGCGGCTTCGAGGTGACAACGTTGGTGCTTCCCTCAGATCCCCCTCCTGCCGCAGGCGACTCTGCAAACACGAGCTTCGACGAGCCCGTCGAAGACGCAGAAGCTTCACCCGCAGACGCGTGCCAAGCAAGCTGGGATTCCATGGACAGCGATGACATCAGTGCTGACGACAAGGGCCTCTTGCTCTCGGGTCTGGGCGGACTCAGTGAAGACGAGGTGACAGGGGTAAAAGATCGCCTGCGGCTGCGTTTGGGAATTCTGTCGCCCAAGACGTTGGTCTCTGGCAAGACGCTGCTGGATGCTGTGGCCGCGCTTGGACTAACGCGATACACCGAGGAGGACATGAATGAGTTTGTCAACATGCTGGGGGACTTCATCTCGCTGGAGTTCGAGGCAAAGCCACAGAAGAGAACGAACCAGACCAATGAGTCCACTGGCACGTCCTCTGTGAATTCCCTCTTCTTCGGTCATGAAGCACCAGAACCTCTCGACACCAAGTTGGGCAAGCCTCACTGGCAGTGGCCGAATCCAATGTCATCTCAGAGTTCTCCCAATGTGCGCTCGAGCGCGAGCATGAAGAATGGAGCGGTGTCAAACGTGATCGGCCAGCAGTCGAGAGCGCCGGTGTTATACAACATGGTCCCTGCACAGCCTTTGCTAGACATCTTCCTGGCACAGGAGACGGACGTGCACAAAAGGATTTTTGGAGCAAAAGGCTTAAATCAGTACAGGGCCATGAAAGAGATCCTTCTGGCAGGCGACACGAACCGCTTAGTGGCAGAATTGACCTTTGTACGAATCAATGACCTTGCGGCGCCACCAGAGCCAATGCATCCGATCATGTACCTGGAACCTCTGGTAGCCATCTTGATTGTTGGCAATGGGATCATGATAGGCTTCCAGACTGATCCGAGCTACAAGGAATGGAATGGCTGGGTTTATTTTGAAATCGGATTTGCCATATGCTGGGCTCTTAGCATGCTCCACACAGAGTCCACAGTAGCAAGCCAAGCAAAACACTTGTGATACCGCGCTACCCTTTGTTTCGTTGCCTCGCTCCGCCTTGTCGAGACTTTACATAGGCTTCAGAACTTGGTACCGGTCGTCCTACCGGCAGTCTAGCTGAAACTTGCACTTCTGACACCTGCTGCAGGTCTGATTCTGGAAGCCGGTCTGCGCATGTACATGTTGGGTTGCTTCG